AAAAAAAAAAAAGCCGTATGAAAGGGATGACATGAAATCAATGTTTGGTCATTGAAACAATCAGTAATTTGTCTCAGCAGTGTAATCCCCCAGTAAGACCTTTGCCAAAAATAATGGCCACCAAATCCATCCATGACTCTACAATGAGACAGTTTCCATCTAGTGTAGACAGCACTGACTGCAAATTGACTTCTGGTAACTTTTAACACATGTAAGTATTGTCCCTCCCACCCTAAAGGGGACGTACAATTTATAGGCCAAATAACAACTTTTTTTATTTTTGTTTTGTTAAACTCTAATCTGTGAGCAGGCCATGCTGGTGCATTAGAAAAGAAACATCTTTGATTTGTTGTAATTTTTTCTGAGATGCATGCTACTGTCTAATCAAAATTGGAATCAGTCTAGCAGTGGCTATCTTGGGGGCAACCATAGTGCTAGAGCACTTGCCTGGATAGAGGAAAAGAGCATGCCAGTTCCTCTCATGGATTGCACTCCAGGGAGCCCCAGATATTCATTAATGGTGAATTCTTTGGGCATCTTATGAGACGATCCCTCCCCAGTTCTAACAAAACTTCTTTCAAAATACCAAAACCTATGATGAGCAGCACTACTGGGCAGAGGCTCTAGTTTCTCCTCCTCTGTGGAGCTCCACCTTTTGAGCTTAATACTAAAAAGATTTTTTAAGTATTTTTTCCAGGGCATTCAGTAGAACTACTGAGAAGCTGGTGGGATATTGCTACAACTAGCAATTCAGTAATTGTAATCATATCCTAAGAGTCCTTGGGTCCTTTGTTGCAGCTGTTGGACTCAGACTCTGTGCTGAGCCTTAGTCCTGTGAATGCCCAGTTCAGCAAGCTGGCCCAAAATCCCATACATCATATGCATATTACTGCAGCAGACAGCATCCAAATATCCCCCAAGTTCAGTGTGCTTGTCTGTCCAGCTGGCTGCCCGTTGAGAGCATGTACATGGGTAGGTAGAGTCACTGTTAACTGACAGTCTGAAGCTGGTGGGTATTGTGCTTATCTGGAGCAGTCCCTGAGCAAATTGAATGGTTAAATACGATTTAATGTCTGGAAGCTGGATGGTACCTTAATGTAAAGGGGGGCAGGCATTCAAATGGACCAGAAGATGTAGCCTGGCACACTCCAGGTATGAGTTTGCCAGGGTCTGTCTTAGCCTGCATGAAGTGCAGGTGTGAGCAGGATCTGTTAATCACACCATCCCTGTGTCTGTCCTGAAAGCTCCATGCAGGAGCTGTCAGCCTGTATCCCCAGTGGGTCACAGGACTAAGGTGGAGTACAGACTGGCCCAGCAGGGCTTCTTGTCCTGAGAAAATGTGTTGGTATACTAATCAGTTTAAACATACTTCCTTGGGATCGCGCACCACCACCACCCAGAGAGTGATAGTGGACAGGTCGTACTCGACCTGGCGGGATGTGAATAGTGGGGTCCCCCAGGGCTCAGTCCTGGGGCCTACACTGTTCAACATCTTCATCAGCAACTTGGACAAGGGGGTGGAAAACACGTT